CATTTTTCATAATAAAATTTTTTATTCATAAAAAAAATGAATAATCAAAATGAGAGGTTAATAAGAGAAAGAGTAACAATGAATAAATTATTGATATATAGAAGGACAAAGAGGAAAATAATATACCTTATAGTGGTTAAAACTTAAAACTTTGTTGATATGTATGTAAGTTTATTAGATCAATTATTGAATTATTTGTGATTTTAAGATATTTCTATGTTATTATAATATTGAGAAAATATAAAATATCTAAAGATATATAGAAAAAGAAAAATTAGGTTAATGATAAATGAAGATGCAATGGGTGATTAAGGAATAATAATAAAGGGGGAAGGATAAGGAGAGAAAGAATAATAGCAAATAAATTATAAATATAGAAAGGAAAAGTAAGGATAGATATACTTTAAAATGATAAATATAGTGAGAAAATATGAGAATATATAATTTAAAATAATAAATATAGTGAGAAAATATAAGAGAGAAGTTAAGAGATGATGCCATAAGAAAAAAAAAAAGAGAGGTAGAGTAATGATTGTGAGTAAAAAAATATATCAATGGAATAATATTAAAAAATTGTGCCTTTTATATTTTAATTTAGAACATGTCTAAAATAGAGAGAGAGAGAGAGAGAGAATTGAAACAAAAAGAGATAGAATGATTGATGGAGGTGCACAAATTAACTTAAAAAAGAATAATAAAATGGGAGGATAACGTGAAAAAAAATAATAACAAATAAATTATTAATACATAAAGAAAATTAGAATGAATAGATAAATATAATGATAAGATATGTGAGGATTAACTAAGAGATGATGTTTTAAGAAAAATTAATGAAACATGAAATATAGGTAAATGAAAAAGTACTAAAAAAAAAAAATACCTCTAAGTTATTTTTTTATATTTTGATTTAAAACTTTCTAATATGGGCATTTAGGAGAAAGAATATAAATTGGGGTGAAAAGAGATATATAATGGTAATAATTATAGATGTAAAGATAAAAAGAAATTAACAAAGATTTGATGAACTGTTTCATGGTGCTTATCTCAAAATATTTTAAATGATATGGAAGTCAAATATGTGTTTATAATAAATTGATATGTTTGAAATGACCTTTATATTCATTAATTAAAAATTAATTTTAATTATTAATCAATATTATTATATTTAATAATTATAAAAAATGTGCAATTCGAATTAACCAGGTTGGAGCCTAATAAATATCAACTATTGAAAGTGGAGAGATAAATTGTTAAATGGATCCTAACTCTTATACATATATATATAAGGAAAAATGTTTTGCAAGTCACCATCTTAAATTTTTTTTAGAGAACTTGTCTAAAAAAATTCATTTTCTAATTAATCTTTTTAAAAACTAATGGTTGGATTTAAAATTCTATTCTTGTAAATTTGCACCTCAATCTTCAAATTGTTATGATAGATCTAATTATTTTGTTGATTATAAAATTAAAATTTAACATTATTAAATATATGTTAGTAAATAAAATTTTTTATCAAAGGATTATAAATGTTAGATCTATATGAAAATTAAGATATATAATCTACATGAATAGAACTTTTAATAAAATAATAGATTTTTGAAAATATTAATGAGAATGTGGGTCTTAAACAAATTCTCTAAAAAAATTTTGAGGGCAATGTGGCATATACTATCTCTATATAGATATGTGTAGGGATTCATTTACACACAAATTTTACATATCACACCTACATAAAATCTCAATCATCATCTCTTCACTTTTATTTATTGAGATTTATTAACAATTACTAAGGTTAAAATTCCTTTTTGGTCCCTCTATTTTAACAAAAAAAACCTTTTTTAGTTCCTCTACTTTAAAAAACCCCTTTTTTGTCCCTAAAGTTTAAAATCTAGTCCCTTTTTAGTCTCTTTGTCATTTCTTTTGCATAAACATCACATTAGATAATGGAAATTTCAAAACCAAGAGACTAAAAAGGGTTTTTTTTAAGTAAAGGGACCAAAAAAGAGCTTTTTTAAAGTAGAGGGACAAAGAGGCTTTTTTTAATCCCTTTTTAGTCATTACACTTTTGAATTTTTATCATTTAACGTGTTACGTGTGCAAAAAGTAATGGAGGGACTAAAAAGGAGTCAAATTTTAAACTTTAGGACAAAAAAGGGGGTTTTTTAAAGTAGAGAGACTAAAAGTGGCATTTTGTTAAAGTAAAAGGACTAAATGAGGTTTTAACCCATTTATCAACCATAATTATCTTTTTCACAAAAAAAAATCGTAATAAATCTCAACTATAGAAAATTAAAAGATGAATAGTTGAGATTTTGTGTAAGTATAGTGTGTGAAACTTGTGTATAATTGAATTTCTCCTATATATAGAAATAAAAATAGTGCACATCTACTTTATTTCTTAAAAATTAAGAGAAAAATCACTCTAAAACTATATTTTTTCAATAAACTCCTATCGAAAAAAATTAAAATATCCCATTTTAAAGTATGAATTAGACTACTTTTAGTATTTTATGATAATATTTTATTGAAACTACGTAATTTTAGAATAATTTTCTTCTTAATTTTTAAAACAAAGGTAGATAAACATTAATTCCTATATATAAATACCTCAATTCAACTTTAATAATTTTAGTTTGATTTGTTGACTTTTTTTACATAAATTTTAAATAAAATTTTAATATATTATATAAATAATAATTAAAATTTTTTTAATCAAATAAAAATATTCAAAAGAGGTATATATAAGGAAAACAAATTTTAATTATTATTTATATGAGTTATTAAATTATTATTTCAAATTTTAACTATTAAAATTGAACAAAGCAGTATATATGTATATATATAAGTAGTATATACATGTGTGTGTATATATATATATATATAAAATACACCAGTTTTTCGTATCTTTCCTGCCAAGAAAAACCATTGAAATTTGAAAGTTCGAAACTCCATAGCTTGTCAGGTCGTTTGTTTTGTGGAGCTCTTCAACGGTTTTGGACAACACACCGACCATTTCAATTAAATAATTTTTTGGTTAAACCTCCAATTTGGTCCCTCAACTATTGCATAAACCTTCGATTTGGTTCCTAAACTAAAAAAGTTCCTAATTTAGTCCCTATTGTTTACCAATTTAACTCCAAATTGATTCTTTTGTACAACAAGAAGTGACGTGTCTTATTATTAACATGACATGTAACAGTTAAATTATAGTTTTCCATTGTTAAGTAATAGATACGTCAACTATTTTCTAATAGAAGGACTAACTTTGAATTAAATTAGTAAATAGTAAGAATCAAATTAGGGTTTTGTTAGTTTAACGATTAAATTAAAGATCTGTACAATAGTTGAAGAACCAAATTAAGACTTTGAGCTAATCTTTTTAATTCCTTAAATTGATAACACATGCAAACAAAGCAAGGCAAAGCCAAAAGCTGATATTTTACAATATATCTTCCCTTGGGGACTAATAATTAATTTATTTACACACAAAAAAATTTCTTTTTTAATTAAGTTAATTAATATATATAGGTCCCATCTCACGTCGTGCCAAGAACACGACAATGCACAGACCAAGGAAAAAAGAGAGCGTATTCAACAAATAAATATAACAAATAATTAAAAATAAACAAATTATTGTACAAAAACAATCTATAATAAAATACTGCAATAAATTAATTAAATGAATAGATTATTTAAGGCAGTTGTCACTGAACAAGCTGGCCTGCAGTGCCCCATTTGTCTGAGCCAATGTTGGCTTTTACCAAGAAAAAGTGTCTGAACAATGAACTTTTTGAGGAATTTCTGGATAAAAACTGACGAGATATAGAAAGATGAGGGCTTTCTAGTGACAAATAATGGAATGGATAAAAACATCCTATTACATGTGGTTGTGGATAATTTTTTGGATCATTTACGATATTTGAGAAATATTTTGGGTCACATAGCGTACAGACAGCAGAGAAGGGGCATGTTACTGCCACACAAACACAAACAAATACAAAGGCAACAAAAATGATGTTTGGTTTATCTAATTTTATAGTTTAATTTTTTTTAAATAATTAATTAAAATATTTGAAAACGTCATCTTGTTAAGTAATATATAGATACCATATGTTTTATTAACTATCAACTAACAATTATAATTATTAACTATTTCTATTAGTTATCTATATTTTTAAAGACAATATTAATAAATTTTGGTAGCTTATAACTGCTAGTAGTTGATATTCATATAGTGGTCAATATTGTGTTTTGGCTAAATGCAAGGTGCATTTTAATTGGTCATGCACTATTGTTCATGATCATATATTATGTTAGTTGATTTTTTTTATTGTCTAACCAATATTTAGAGATAGTTATGCTGTCTTGGTTATTCAGGAACCATGGAAGTAATATATATATTTATATATATGGAAAATGAGTTTATGAAAAATTTGAGAACCCAAGCTATATAATTTGGTTTATGCAATAATTTAAAAAAAAAAAAAAAGGCATGAAATTTGGATTAGTATATTCTAGAAATGTAAGTTAATTTTTAAGTTTTGTGTGATGGAGGAGCCATTTATGGTGAAATTGCATGAGTTGAGCTCATAGGTTCTTATGAAAAATTTTGCGAGAAAAACAGTTTTTCTATAAACTCGATTATTTGAAAAATGTTAAAATCATAAATTTAAGACACTCTTAATGTCAGAGATCATTTATGATACATCACTCAAGGTTCGTGCTCATCAAATGTCCCATTTCTAAGGTGCCAATGTATCTATCCTACAATGTTGGAGGATTGAGTTCTAAGATTCTTAATAAAATCTGTTAGTCATTTTGAGTGAAGTGTCTCAATTGAATGAACACTCTTGACGGATTTCATCTATGTGGGTTGTAATACCCCAAATTTTCGGGAATTTTAGCATTTAATTAAGGACTTGATTGTGAGAAAAGATTGTTTTGGGACCTAATGTGAATATTTCAAAAGTTGAGGGACTTAAAGAGGGAAAGATTTTGGATAAGGATGACTTCTTTTCTTTTTCTTTTTCTTTCTTTCTTTTCTTCCCAGCCATTCCCGATTCTGCTCTTCTTCTTCCCGTTGTAGCCACCCGAAGAAAAAAAAAGGGGAACCAGCCATGCTTTGAGAAACCGGTGAGATAAGCTTGGTTTTCTCCTTCCTTTCTTGCTCTAGAACACATCTAGAACCCAGAAATCTCCCCCCCTGCTGGAAAAGCCGGATCTGCCCTGCTCTGCTTTGTCCTTCCGCCGGCTGCTCTTGATTGTGGGTGATTTCTGGGCATTTTTTTCGATCCGTGAGCTTCCCCCTGCAGATTCCGCCGGCCTTCCCCAATCTGCACTCCGGTTTTGCTTGCTGGATTTATGGTATGTGACAGCCTTTTAAGGCTTAAATTATCCATTTAAAGTTGCTGCTTGTGATGTCCGAATTTGGCTAGGAAATGGGGAAATTCCGGTAGCAATTAAGAGGGATTTAAGTGTGTTTTGTTGCTTAATTCAAGTGAGATTTATGTGATTGAGTGTTAGATGGTTGTTGTGATTTTTGGAGAAAATCCTGTGAGATTAGCTAGTGTTTTGGCCAATTTGTGGAAGTAGAGTTACTGTTCATGTTGGGGTCACTGTTCACCGGCACTGTTCACCGGTTACTGTTCACACCCCGAGGGCCAACAATTAACGGGGATTTAAATGATTAGTTTGTGATATAAGAACGAATTTGGAGATATTTGATTATGTGGAGATTTATGGAAATAGCATTGTGATTAGGAATGATCCTAATGATGAGTTTACCTTGAACTTGTGATAGTCCGGTATTGATTCTCGGATTTTTGATTAGGTTCTTGATCGTTCTGTCAGTTTAGTACGTGAATTGAGTGCTCGATTTTATGCGAGTGAGGTAAGTAAATTTATGGTAATGCCCGTACTGTTTTAAAAGTATGTTTTGATTTGTTTTTGAAGTGGTGGCGGGATTAAACCCGTTTTATACAAAAATGAGCATGATTGATTTGAAATGAGATTTTTATGCTTTTCATTAAATTGAGCATGCCTACTGGAAATTTGATTGATTGTCCTGATGATTTGAAAGTGATTGATAAAGAATGATTTTCTGTGAACTTCTGCCTGTTTTGTCTCCGATATGGTTATGTTATTGATTGTAATCCTGCTAGTGGGGGTTAAACGCTAGCACATGTCGACATGTTATTGATAGAACCGGTTCATTCAAGTGTAGCTTGCCAGTGGGAAGTTTAATACACTGGCCATGACCTATAGAGGAGACGTCTATTTCGTTCCCGTACTGAATCCGATTTGCGTGATTGCACATGTTGGCATGCTACAAGTTTAATTAAGGGCACTCCATATTTTACTTACTGAGTTTATCTCATAGTTTTTCCTTGTCCACCATTTCAGGAAGTGAAACCGAGGACGGGGAAACCACGGGAAGTGACGAGTTAGAAGGCTAGCCATATTGTAATTGGATGTGAAGTTTTAGATATAATCATGATCTTGTATTGGAGATTTATGATATCAGAGAGTTTATAAAATTGATCTTCAGATTTTGATGGTATCAGAGTGTGAATTGGATAAGTTCCAAGCCTTGTGCATTTGTGGGACCCGTCTCACGAGTGCACGGCGTCTGCCACGTCCCCGGATTTGGGTTCTGGGGCGTGACATGGGTGTCAAAGTAAGTCTGCTACTATGAAAATTGGAAGAACAACTTTTTAAATCACTCGTGAAAATTGAGATCATGCATAAGATCATAATGTGTTGGGTCAAATATTCCAAGAGGGGGTGAATTGAAATTTTAAATATTCTAATGTCAATTGCTTCCACCTTTTTCTTTCCCCATACAATATTAATTGCTTCAAGATCAGAATACCCTTGATAATGTAAAATAGCTAGAGAAATCTTGACAAGGACCAAAAATAATATAGTACTTGCATGAAAACCTTTAATTTGTTGTAATGATCAGGACGGTGGAGTTGCCTGCTCAGCCAAGCCAGAGCACAAGAAGAATGAATTTGGTGATTGAATTTTGACCAAATTCAAAGCCTTTTCTCCCATATTAATTTACCACTTCTATGCCATTATAAGCAGGCATCTTTATTTTCCCCACACTTTCCCTTTCCATATCCTATTGAAATTAATTACTAACCAAACCCAGTGCCCACAGTAGTATTCAATAAAAAATTTTAAATTTTTTCATCGAAAAACAGACTTCATTGCTCAAATTACAAAATAAATCAATTTAAGACTCAAAGATGATTTTCTGCACCTTTCTATATATATGGAAAAATGTTTATTAGTTGTACTTGCAAAAAATTAGACAAAAAAGTTATTTCAAAATCATATTGTTTTAATAAATCTTATTGAAAAAAAACTAAAACATCTTAATTTTTAGTAGAAATGAGACTGTTTTAGTCTTTTCATGTGACATTTTATTAAAATAATGTAATTTTGAGTTTTTTTCTCCTAATACTTTTGTGGATGAAACTGATAAACACTAATATTTTATTTAAATAAATAAATATATATAATGTATATTAATCCTAATTCTTAATTTTTAATTTTAAATGATGTTATTTTATTTAATTAAAATTCAGTTTAAAATTCAAAAGTTTATTTTATTAAATATTGATATTTAATTTTAAAAATCAATTATATGTTTAATATAATTATTTTTAATTTAAATATCAATATATAATAAAATATATTTTTAAATTGTAAATTGAAATTTTAGTGTTTAAACGAAGTTCACAGGAATACGGCTTTACTAAGGGGTTAGCAAAAAATCCCATCTATAATTTGCTTTGAATGTTCAAGATAGTGACCGATAAATACAGCAAATGCTGCTGCATATATGACATGAATTAATTTCCCTTCGAATATAAGCAAGAGAGTGATATTTTATCCAAGTCAATTTTTCAACTTGAAAGATACATGACAGAAATGGGTACCTAACTCTTATCCTTCTTGGATTCCTTACTACAAGGGCAGAAGAGCAGTCCAGGTCCATATCATTAGTTTGCATATATGTATATCAGTATTGATTTTTAAAAAATTAAAATTTTAACTTTAAAAATGTCTTTACATATAATTAAGATCTAATTCAAAATTTAAAAATCTATCATTTAAATATTTTTTTTGCCAAAGTTGATACATGGATTTGAAAACTTAATATATATTCTTATAAAAGATAATAAAATAAAATAAATAGATTTTACTTAGTAAAAATTATGAGTTAGAAGTGTGAAGTTTTAATATTTTGACTCAAAAAGGGAGTATTGATGACTAAAATGAATATTTTAGGCTAATTTTAAGGCTAGGTGGCTATCACCTAAAGTGTTAAAGTCATTAAAAACTGTAAAATATTATCATTAAAAATATTATTTCTGTTTATTTGGATTGATAAAATAATTAATAACTGTAATTATTAATTAATAACTAATAAAATAATTAATATTTATTAGTTTACAAAGTAAAATGAATCAACATACTGATACTCTCAAACACTATTTAAGATAAAAAATTAGAAAATTGGTCGTCTTAAAATTTTTTGTATTAGCAATGACCGCGCCCCCTAATTTTAGGCATACAAAGGTGATGATCTAAGTACTGGGAGAGAGGAAAATGATTTAGGAACAATATTTTTGTACCACATTTTTATATAACCTGACTTGTCAATAAAATGATTGCTTCTTTTTATTCATTTGGAATTCATGATATTGAATGCATCCATTCATTTAATTATATGTGAAAGTTGCACAAAAAGATGGTATAAAAATGTTGTCCCTATATCACCGCCAAAGGATACAGTGAAAAAATGTAAAAAGTTCAGAGATTTTTTTGGTAATTTTTTGGCAAAAATGTGAGAGATTAAAAGGTAGCTTTTCTATTTAATACAATTGTCACTTATTGTAATGAAAACATTCTATTTTGAATTTAATGATAAAATTTACAAAAGAACTAGTGATGATTATTTTCATAAATATTAAGATCCGGGAGAAATGAATCTACCAACAATAGGGCGTTGAATGAATGTCATTTTTCTCTACGTTTTCTAAAATCTGAACTACTATGCATGTTATGGCTTAGTTGACGACGTTACTCTACAGTTGTAGTTGTAGGTTTTTTTTTTTTTTTTTGTTTTTTTACATCCAAAAATATATAAAATATATTTTATATTTATTTTAATTAATATCTTATCTATTTTTAAAATAAAAATAAAAAAATAAAAACCAAAAGCTAAAGTATCAAGAAGTGTTCTCAAACGAAGTCTAAGTATTCTTAGATATGATGCTTATAAATAATTTTAGGAATTCTTCAGGACGAAATATATATTTAGTATTCTTATTCAACAAATTTTTAATTGATTATAATTCACCAAATATTGTTTAATTATGATTTCATGTTTATAATTAAACTATAAAGGACATAAAATGCCCCTAAAGGGGTGGCTTAACTAGTTAACTGCCTAAGATTCTAAGTTGGAGATTTCAAATTTGAACCCTGAATCAAGTGAAGAGGGATTTAGGAAAAAGGGAAGATTATCTCTCCTTATATATTCTATTATCAAATGCACCAAAAACAAAAGACGTAAAATAGTTTTTTTGTTAGTAATTTAGTAATAACCTTTCCTACTACAAGAGAATACCCTTATTCATATCAAGCCACATTATGCGCATCTTGCTTCACTTTAATGTCTTCAATTTTTTCCCACGTACCTCTAAGAGTAGTTTCACCAAGGATGTTGTTAACACTAAAAAAATAGAAGAGATTGTGTGGAACCAAGTACTTTATTGATCAAGGATGGAGAGTGCTTACGATAGAGAAAGAATGAAGAAAATAACCCATTTTCTAGGTCTAGCATTAGGGTATTTATAGAATAAAACATAAAATCAACCTAGGATTACAATTCTACTTGGATTGGTGTTGGGTATTTTAGTTCTAATGGAATTTAGCATGTCTAATCTTGATAGAACTTTTCTAGGATGCTTCCACGTGTCTTAGTTTTCATAGAACTCCAGTTAGGGTATAACATTTGCCCCTATCAAAGAAGTTTGAGCATTGTGAAAACTTGCTTTGTTTCATTCCAACGTAAGGTTCGTCATAGGTAACTTGCTCTCATTAAGTTTCATTGTATTCGGTTCCAAGTTTTGTCCAACTTTTTTGAGTAAAAATTTGGGCAAAACCCCTCACTTTCACAAGTGGTGACAAAGCTTAAAACCTTTGTTGATTATAGATTTTTTGTCTCTGTGTTTCAAAGATTCTGAACCTTCATGGCAAAGGTTTCATTTCCAATCGTGATTGCTTCATTAAAAACCTTAGCTAGTAAAAACCCTATGGGATAAAAGTCTATCTTAAAGGCAAAAGAGTACAACATAGGTTTTCCTCTATACTTAGAGCATTTGACGCAACTTTGATGAAAAATCCTGTGAGAATCAAGTGTTTCATAAATCTTCTACATTTTGCATAGTTTTTGTGATTCCCTCATAGGTTAACATTTTGGTAGCTGTCTTTTCATCTTTATTATCTTCAAAATTCTATGTTGAGCAAATGTTTTAGTTTTGGTGTATGATTGATGTAGACCGTCGTGATTTTTTCCATTTATTGAGGATGATGTTTTCTCTTCATATCTTAGGATGTTTTGCTTTAGTTTCACTCTCTATTGACTGTGTTATACTTTCTTTCTCTTAAAGCTACATAATTTAGATCTTTCTCATGCCATTCACTTCAACTTTCCCACAGAGTTTTTTAGAAAGATGTGTGTCCTTGACTCTTCTAGTGCAATTTCTTGATCGACAGACTACATAGGTTTTTCAAAGCTGTTGGTTGCAAAGCTTTTTATTGGTCAAGATCTTCTTTCATTTCTGCCCTTTATTTGCCTTCGACAAATAGTTTGATGAATTGAGAACTATCTATGTTGTTCATGCTTGCCATGATGGTTTGTAGAATCTATGTTGTTTCCATCTTTTTAGCTTTTACTGTGTTGTTCATATATATCTCAAGCTTTCAAAAGCATACTCCATGTTTGAGAGTCTTCATGCATAGATATTATTGAACCTTATAGTTTTGTCATAATCTTCATCTTGATTTTGCTAACGAAGGTTTACCAAAAGGTATTCCAATATCACTAAAGCTTTACATCAAAAGTAGGTTAGTTGGTTATCTAGCAAGAACACAGCTTTGCGGCACCTTGATGAAGGTTTAAGGTAGTAATAACTTGGTCAAAGGAATCTTTACAAAGAACAAATGTTGAGTAGAGATGTGCTTTGAGATTTTCAAAGATGTTGCACCAAGTGGATAGGTTATTGATGATATAGATTTCTATAATTATTCATCTGCAAAAGCTTTTGTAATTTTTATGTTGTTGGTATCGTTACCTCAAGGTAGGGATAGAGTTTTGTTTCATTGAAAAGTGATAAAGGCATAATCCATGTGTTAATCCCTTGAAGTTGTTTATCAGCAGCATTTGATTGATATATTTTTGTTGAATTATGGTCTTCTAGTTAATTATCTATCCATTTTTTAGAAACACATCGATGCTCAGTATAGAGGTTGATTAAATTTGTGTCTTTAGCTTCTTCATTATTTTGCATCTTCCTTCTTTTGCTTTTCATAGCAACTTTATCCATTCCTCAAATTTGCATAGGTTATAATGTTGGTTTTGATGATCCATCTATTTTGGGCCAAAGCTCTACGACTTGTAGGTATTCTAAGTCTCTGTTACTTATTAGCAACAAGGGATTGCTTTCAGATTTCCTTTTGGAAGCTTTACATTACATGGTTGTTTATAATTCTGTGAGTGTATGCACTTCTTTTTCATTGTGTTTCCTCCAAATGCTTTATTTTTCATGCTAAGGTTGATCTTGCTAAGATTTGGGAAAAAAGTAAAGGTCTAGTAAACCTGTGTAGTCAGCTAAATTCTGAAAGGATTAATGTTGAGAAAGAGCTACATTGGGGTTAGGTTCAATTAAAGCTAAGAGACAGAAACAAATTTATCTATGCTTCAATAATGTTATGATTTGTTAAACATTGAGAAAGAAATTATCTCTTCTACTATCTCTATCAAGAAGATGTCTTTTGAATAATCTAATTCTTCTTTTTAGCAACAATTGTGTGAGCTGACTTCGAGAAATTCTATTCTGGAAAGTTCTATCTCTAAATTAAAGGCGTAGGTTTCTTCTTTGTAGGCTTCTTCTACTATTCAGACCTTTAAGGAATCTTCCAAGGGTAAGGCGTTTGCTCCTTCTAATAGCCTAGGTTATTTTAATCTTGTCACAAAGTTTATTAAAATACTGCTTCCTTGTCAAGGGATGATTGTACATGGTCGTCTTGGTAGAATTTGAGGGCATAGATACTACTGTGGAGGTTTATGCTGATTTGGAGTTGAAGAAGGTTTATGATTAAGGTCCATTGCATGTTTCTCTAGTCAGATTTTTGGTTGAAGAAAAGGAAGGATTAAGTAGCTCTTACAATGTAGAGGATTTTGCTATAGCTATTCATAGTGGAGGTAGTTCTGTTGATGCAAAGATTTCTCAAGATGTCCCTTATTCTTTGAATACTTAGTTTTTCAAACCTTTCATTGAACTTGCAAAAAAGAATAGTTGTTTTTAGAAAAACATTTAGGTTGCACTATTTTTATATTTCGTTACTTGTTATGGATGTTTTATCTTTGTTTTGTTATATTTGAAACTTTTTATTCTTATATCTATGTTCTTATGTTTAGTATTTTAAGGTGTATTAGTTTCATGTTTTTTAGAACATCTGCTTGCTGAACAATTGTTTTGTTTCTAACTCAAGTTTTGGTCATAGTTAGCATTATGACTCTCACTAAAACTATAACTATATCAGAACCTATGTATTAGGTTGGTTTATTAGCCTGCTAATTTTCTAAGCTGTGTACAACTAGCTTATTAATTTTTGAAGCTAAGTGCAACTTGTTTATTAGTCTTACAGGCCAGTTTAATTTCTTAGAGTGAGGGCCTCCTCACTTGTCAATTAGGATTCAAAGTTTATCGATCAATTAGTATCTACCATGTCCTCCATTTTCTTATATAAAAGATAGGTCAAACACAACTTTACACCCAAAATGGTCACTACAGGTTTATGTTGCAAAGTCCCTTCAATATTCAAGAATTGCACTAACCTTCATAGTCTTGATTGCGTAGTTTTTGCCTTGTTGTTTATATACAACCTAACTTGATCATGTCTTTTAATTCGCTTAAGCATATTCTAGTTAGTTTTTAGTTCTTAATTCTTAATATTTTGAGTTAACCAACCCTATCCGAATCTCAGAGCTTTAAGAATAGCTCCGTAGTTTCACGCTTCCATATTCTTTTTAGCATATTTTTTGTTTAAAGCTTTGGATCACTTAAAATTGATGTGGAAGCTATATGTTGCATAGAAGCAAGCAAAGATGTGTGTGGCCAAGATCTTATTCTTAAAACTATGATCCGCTTAGAAGTGGATTTTAGTAATACAAAATAAATCTTTGTTGTTCAAGTGTACAACATTTCGTGTCCTTAGAACTAAAGTTCCATGGGGATAATTGGGCTTAAAAGCTCTATTTCCCATATCTTTTTTTGAAGAGGTATGGACCTTCCTAATTTTGCAACTTACTTTCTTTAGAATTTTTTCTAAAACATCTGTCTTCCATAATACCCGATCTCCTTGCTATAGGTCTTTTGGTTTTACTTTGTGATTGTAGCATCTTTCTGTTTTCGTATGCTAATTCGCTACAGACAACTATGACAAATCTTTGATTTCTTTTAGTATGTCCACATTTGCTCTCCTTGGTACAATTTATTAAATTTCGAGCCTTCTTAGCTAAAGGCAGTGAAATCCTTCGTGACTCTTGTCTATGATGCACCTATCTTGAACCTATGTTGTGTCGAAATATTTACAATATCAATCAAAGATTTCACAGCTTGCTCAATTGCTCTCAAATTCTACTTTATATCCGCCATATCTTGCTCAAGCCTATTTTGACTTGTGATGCCAATGACAAATCTCTCAATATTGCTCCGTTAAGCACATCTCTAGAATTTGTCAAAGACAAAAAAAGAACCACCATTTCTAGATTATATTACAAACTTGGAGCATCTGTGATGGGAATCAAGACAATAGCATATCTACTACGCCATGTGATCCATTACACACCCAAGGAGGTCCAGTCACGCGAGCTAGAGCTAAGAAGATGCGTGAAGCTTTAAATGGCCTTATTGAGCAGATCTGGGTTGAAAACAACATACAACAAGCAAATCGAAGCTTGGATGATCATCAAGGCATGGTAAACAACATTCAGGTTCAAGAGAAGCTTAGTTGAGGTCATTTGCACGGAATTACACAGTTTACGTAGAGAACAATGAGACCCACAACACGACAAGGGATTTCTAAACTCCATGAAAGCTAAATCAGGTTTTATAATAGGACCTTGACCCATTGTTTATGTCATAACAAGAACCAAAGGTAAAAACCTTGACCCGTTGTCTATGACACAACAAGAACCAAAGGTATAAAGTTGGTTGACGCCACACCCTCGAACAATTAAGAACGAAAATGATAAGTTAGGTTAGAACGCCACAATAATAATCTTGATAAGTTCTATAAAGTTCTGACATGAACCAAAGAGAAAAGTCTCTCAAAATCTCAGATTCAATAGCCTCCTCCCCATTAGGGTTACAAGCCTTTTAAATAGAGAAAACAAATCCTAATCAGAATAGGAAATTAACACCCTAAGTCCTAAACCTAATAATCACAAATTGGGCTTCAAATAAGTGAATGTTCAGCCCAAAAATAATACAAAAAACGTGAAAATCACTAAAAATAACCTAAAATAACATGAAATATCAGTTTGCTATAAATTGTGGCAGAACTATGCGATTTTGATGCAAACTGTGTAATTCCGTGCAAATGACCTTAACTAAGCTTTTCTTGAACCTGAATGATGTTTACCATGCCTTGATGATCATCCAAGCTTCGATTTGCTTGTTGTATGTTGTTTTCAACCCAGATCTGCTCAATAAGGCCATTTAAAGCTTCACACATCTTCTTAGCTCTAGCTCGTATGATTGGACCTCCTTGGGTGTGTAATGGATCACATGATGTAGTAGATATGCTGTCGTCTTGATTCCCATCAATCTGTGAGCATAAGTGGTGAGTTTTTAAAATTTGGCAAGTGGTGTTCATGGATTAAAAAGAACTTAGCCCCACAATGAGCGCCAAATGTTAACATAAGAAAATAGAAGAAATTGTGTGGAACCAAGTACTTTATAGATCAAGGATGGAGAGAGCTTATAGTAGAGAGACAATGAAGAAAATAATCCCTTTCCTAGGTCTAGCATTAGGGTATTTATAACGTAAAATCAACCTAGGATCACAAGTCTACTTAGGTTGGTGTTGGGTATTATAGTTCTAATGGGATTTAGCCTATCTAATCTTGATAGAACTCTTCTAGGATGGCTTCGTTTGGCATAATTTTTATAGGACTCAATTTAGAGTATAACAGATGTTATACTTCACTTTGGTTGCAAAGGCTAATTAAATTTGACTTGCCGCTTTCTTTTGAATGGGACTCCATTTCTTGTCATCCACGTCAGTGGCCTTGGTCTCCTTCATAGTAATATCAAGTCCTTGACATGTAAAAACATCCTTCATAGTGCTTTGCCAAAAAGCAAAGTCCTTTCCATCAAACAACTCAACAGGTTACTTCATCAAATACAATTACATCCTTGCAACGTAAGGATCTCACCAATTCACTTGATACCACTTGTTGGAAATTTAGACACAACTCACACAATTTTCTACAACAAAAGCACATATGGAAAAGTAAAAGATAAAATATAAACACACCAATTTACATGGAAAACCCTAAATAAGGAAAAATTGCAAAGGAGAGAAAAATTCACTACTAAGAAAGAGTTATAATATTAGAAGCCCCAATCTTAATATCCTCTAGGAACCCCTAATCTCTCACAAGAACTTTCACTTAATCTCTCACAAAGAAATGGACTATACATGGGGGATTCAAGCTATTATTTTTGGATAGCCCTTACCTTCTCTTAATCCCTTTTCATTGTCTTAATATTTGAACTCAAGATTTTCAACTGAAAATCTCAAACTCTTAACTATTTAAAATACTCTTGTGGAGCTTTATTACTAGGTATTCTAAGGTTGTTCAATATATTTTTCAAAGCTTTAAGAAGAAGTCCTATTTATAGGCTCTTCTTCAAAGGACACAATTACTGTAGCCTTAAAGATTATTAAATACCATATTTGAACAGTGAAAGTAACAAATAGGTTTAAGTACCATTTTGGTCCCTCAACTTTTCACTTTGGTACCAAAATTGTCCCTCACCTTTAAAAAGTACCAAAATTAACCTTAAACTTTCATTTTTGGAACCAAAACGGTCATTCCGTCAATTAAATGACAGGTGGTACGTTAAAATGCCACAAAATCAATTCTTTTTTTGCTTGACTAATGACATGGAAAAGAAAAAAACATAGTTGGCCATTTTTTTTTATGAGGTGGCATTTTTATTTAATTTAAAAATTTTGATATCCTTTTTTTCCATCCACGTCATCTCTTCTTCCTCTTTCACTTTCTCTCTCTTTTACCTTTCCTTTTCCCTTGCCTCTACAAACCCAGATCTGGGTTCTCTCGCAAACTTCATCTTCTTCCTCCTTTCCTTTCCTTGCTCATCCTTCTTCCTTTTTCTTCTTATTCTTTCTCTCTCTCTCTCTTTTCTTTTCTTCTTCCTTTTTCAAACCCAAATCTGGGTTTTCCTCAAACCCAAATCTGGGTTTCATCACATAACATGGAAACTAATCTCGAATATACTAAACAGAAAAGCCAAGAACTCCTAAGCCAACTAACAAAAAGGAACATAGATTAAAAAGAGTAAAGAATTTCTAGAAAAAAAGCAATTCGAGTCAAATCACATTCACATACAAGCCAATTGCAGATCTAATCTCGAAAATAATCAACACGAAAACCACTTAATCAACTCAAAAAATACACATAGAAAATACAAAATAAGCAAAAGAACAAAACCAGTTCTATACCCTCCTTTTCTTCCCCTTCACCTTGATCACTTTCCTCTCCCTCGCTTTTACCTACTTCTTCCTCTTCACTCTCTACTGTTGCTACAGCTGTAGCAAGGGTTGAATAATTCCTTCTAAAATACCCATCATCCATCGATGACGAACCTAGGCGGCCCCAGGCGTCCCCAGGCATCCCTAGGCACCAAATTCGGTATTGATGTTGCTGGCAATGTTGCAAGGAACCTGGTTGATCAAGAAGAACAACTCCAAATCAGGTGGCTGGAAATGTCTGTCCTTCGGTGGCTCCCTTTTCTTCTTGAACAAAAACGACTTCTTCTTCGGAGGCGGAAGACACGCTGGTGCAGCCGGTACCTCACTCAATATCCCCCATCATCCGTAGCACCTCGTCGTACGCCGCCTCTTCCCTCATGTCTTGGTGATTTTTACGAATTCTGCTAGGTGATTGAGGGGGGCTAAAGG